TTTACATCTCATTTCTCCTGTTTTATGCCAAAAGAGGTAAGTCCTCTCTTCTTTTTGCTTCAACTTCAGAGCTGCTCTAGAAACAGTGGACCGCTTGACAGAGTCCCTGGATTTCACTGACTATGCCTCACGGATTATTCATCCCATTGTGCGAACACTAGATCAGAGCCCTGAGCTACGAACAACTGCAATGGACACACTTTCCTCTCTGGTGTTCCAGCTGGGAAAGAAGGTAATACTCTTCTCAGACTTGAAAGCTTGTAAGAGGAGGGACTGTCACAAACATTAAGGCTTTAAAGGTGAATATTTGTAGTGCACTCTTTCTGCATTTTAAAGAAAACAGGTTTTTCTTCTCTTTGTTTCTGGAATCAAGAGTTACTGAAATCCAGCTTTCAGAATTGTTTGTTTAATAAGAGAAATGAAACAAAGGTGGGATATTACTGCACTTGGTGTCGCTGAGTAACTAGCTTTTGATGCATTCCCCTGTACAGTACCAGATTTTTATCCCGATGGTGAACAAAGTTCTGGTGCGACACAGAATTAACCATCAGCGCTATGATGTTCTTATCTGCAGAATTGTAAAGGTGAGTTAACAAGTATGTAGTTGTTTGCATAAGGGTGCTTTGGGGTTGTTTTTGTGATGAGAGATATGTAGCTGGAAACTTCACTTTGAGTTAGAAAATGAAGAATGGTTGTTGCTGTATTTGTGTCTGAAGTACAGCTTTTAAAGGAGACAGATTGCATTGGGAAAATGATTACTGCTATTAATTCTAATACAAAAATCACTGCAAGTACTAGGTAAGAACTTTAAATTGTAGCCATTGTTATTACTTTTTTCTCAGTTCTTAAACATGGATTTACTTGAGGTTTTGCACAGTTTCAGGGCTTGAGCAGACCTTGTTATCTCAGTATTTTCCATAGGCTGTCCCACATTTCAAAATCTCAGTAACTGGTTTGAGAATTGATTAAGGTAGAACAAGCAGCACACTGCTGTTCTCAACTTCCTAGTGAGTCAAATAGGAAGGAGTGCTTGTTTTAAGGTGTGTTATTCGGGGTTTTAATACTAGGAGCTAAGATTTCCTAACAGTTAAATTGAATAGAGAAGAAATATTATTAGAGTTCTCTGGTTTATAAGGTGTAATTATTGTAATGAAACACAGTTGGTTGCCTCACAAATTTCACTGTGAGGTTGGGTAGTGCTCTGACTTTGTCATCCGTTTGGCTTGTAGGAAATTGCTTTTGTGTATGTGGGTGTGATCTTCATTGTAAGCTATTTATTGTAGGGCTATACTCTTGCTGATGAAGAAGAGGATCCCCTGATTTATCAACACCGAATGCTGAGAAGCAACCAGGGAGAAACTTTGGCTAGTGGACCTGTGGAAACAGGACCCATGAAGAAATTGCATGTTAGCACCATCAACCTGCAGAAGGTAAGACCAGAGAATTGCACAGTGTGAGTTTGCTACTGAAGGGAGGAGCTCATGTCATATCTAAGGAGTTTGTCCGGTGCGTCCAAACTGCATTTATTTACATCTCTTTTCTGTTGCCAGTTCTGTACAAAACTGAGCTCAAAGTGGTGTCTGAGACTCTTTAAAAGAAGAAGCTGCTAAGCAACTTGAAAGATAGGAGCAGCTGAATTATCAGACTGTTAATGGCCATGAAGTAATCTTGACACTTCCTTGTTATGTTAAGTATGAACAAGACTTCCTAGATCACAAGGAATCATCTGTAGCTTCTAGAGGCATCTGTTTCAGAGCTTCTGCCTTTTTTCATCAGCCACTTATATCTTAGTACTATATTCTCTTGAAGCCAATATAGAACTTAATAGCTAAGCACTGGCTAGTTGGAACAGTAAATGCACATAGCACTCGGTTCAACAGTGGGATGGATTGGTTTGAAAATGATGGATTTAAAAATTTAATGCTAAATGCATTAAGTATTTTTAAGCTGATGTTTCAACAGTGGCTTCAGCTCTTGGTGTACTTTTGTAGGAAAAGAATTATGTTAAATACTTGGCATGTCATGACAGGGATACATTTAATAAAGATTTCTTAGAATCGAGACGTGTTGCAAATTATCTGACAAAGGTAATGGATTTCAGGGCATTGAGAAGGGCATCTCAGCGATGTGATTTGGAGCTGTAAAGAAGTCATGCTGCCTGCTGATGGATTTCTTCTGCTTTTGGATAGTGCTTCATTTGGTAATTGCACCATCTTGCTTTGTTCTGCAGGCCTGGGGAGCAGCAAGAAGGGTTTCCAAAGATGACTGGTTGGAATGGTTAAGAAGACTGAGTTTGGAGCTGCTGAAGGATTCCTCCTCACCATCCTTGCGCTCATGCTGGGCGCTGGCTCAGGCGTATAACCCCATGGCTCGGTAGAGTAATTCTGTTTTGGTTTTCAGATCACTTGAAATTGCAGTGCAAGCCAGATGTTGTAAGGAAAAAGAAAGTTAAAAGCTCTTGGGTTCCATAAGTAGAGACAGTTCCTGCATATTAGTCTAGGAATAATATAAGGCACATTCAAGTGAAGCTGGAAAAACAGCAGAGTGTGAAGTAGTTTTGAGGATCTGCTCACGTCTCACTCTTTTGCTTTCCTCCTCAGAGATCTCTTCAATGCTGCTTTTGTTTCATGCTGGTCTGAACTGAATGAAGACCAGCAGGATGAGCTGATCCGAAGCATTGAATTGGCCTTGACTTCTCAGGACATTGCAGAAGTCACTCAGACACTGCTGAATTTGGCAGAATTCATGGAACACAGTGACAAGGTAGAGATGCTGTTGGCAGCTCTTCTGGAATGCTGGCAAGCTGGCTAATGGCTAGGCTATGGAAAGGGTGTGAAGAGTTCGTGCATGCTTTCTGCTTTTTTATACTCATCATGCTTTTGGTGTGTGTGCTTCTACCCAGGGTCCCCTGCCTCTGAGAGATGATAATGGCATTGTCCTCCTGGGGGAAAGAGCTGCAAAATGTCGAGCATATGCCAAGGCACTTCACTACAAGGAGCTGGAATTTCAGAAGGGTCCCACCCCAGCCATCTTAGAATCTCTTATCAGGTAGGACCACAACTGACGAGACTTTTGCTCTTGCATCAGTACCCAAGTTAGGATACCTTTGGGATGAATCTAGACAGTTTTTAGGGTTTCACACTCTGCCACAAGATGTTGTAGGCTTACTAACTAGCTTGCAGATGTACACTCCTAGCTTCTGAGTTCTGCCCTTCTGTTTGGTTAAAATCATGATAGAAGCTGTGGGAAGTTGTGCAAGAAGTGGAGTCTTCCAGTTTCTACTTTTTGCCCTTCAATACAGGATCTCGTGGGGTGGCTGTAAGTTAAATGAGACAGATTTCTACACCTACGTATAAATAAGCCAGAAAAGCTGAAGTTCTTAAATAAAACTTCTCATCAAGTTCTGCTCATCCAGCTTAGATAGGTCTCACTCTCCGTATATCAAGTAGCAGGTATTATAAGAAGAGTGTATTGTTTCCTGAGTTTGGTCCATAAGAAAGCTGTTAGCCTAAAACACCTGCACAGGATTTGGTACTAGACTACATGGTTTAAAACATGAATCTTGGTTTCATCTCACAGGAATGTTAACTCTACCATTTGAGATGGCCAAATTGATTTTGGTTGAGCAAAAACTTAGCTTTGTTTGTGATGTTTATCAGCCCTCCCGCTTCCTGGGAGTTGTGCTTTCCTGGGGTGTTTTCCCCTCTTTTTTTCTTTCATCCTTTGTCCTCTCTTCTTTTTTTTTTCCTGAGATAAGTATAGAATTAATTGTATTCCCTTTCCTGGCCTCAGGTGCAGCTCTTTCTGTGTGTATCAAAAAACAAGTTAAGGAGCAGACTCGAAGTAAAACAGAATTAAAAATGAAAGGCAATTTATTAGAATTGGGAAAGCTTTGAAACCTTTCAAAATCCATTTTATAGACCACAGTTAAAGTAATTCCAATTCTAGTTCAACACAGTTGAGGTTTCCAGTATGAATAGTCAAACATATGTAAGGCAATTCCCAAGTCATCAGTAACTCCCATTTCACACAGCACTGAACAGTTTAAATTAGATTGAAACTCTCTTTAAGGTGAATAAAAATAGATATATTAATGCTAACGATCTTTTCCAACATATTCAAATAACAGTATGGTGACAGGAGTGGTCTCTTTTTTTTTTTAACTGTTATTTTTGACACTGTGTTATGTAAAGGAGAAACATTGTGTGTGTGTTGCATAACATCATTCCTGGATTCTCTGGTGTGTGCTAGTGTTTTGCTTATGGATACAGTGGTTTTAAGTGTTGGAGTTGAGGTTTTTGGCTGGATGGCCAGGTCTGGACTTCTTTTGCTAATCTATTGTTCTCCCTTAGTCTTAGTGACGTACAGCACACTTAATGCCCTAACCTGAGCATAATTTGGTGGCAGCCCTGAAAGTTGCTTTCTAGTTTATGAGCTTTTAGGTCATCTGTGAATAGGAGTAAGTATCACAGAGCATATGAGGCAAATCCTTTCTCCAGATTTACTGTCTGCTGGGTGCAGCCCTCTGTGGGGACTTACTTGTTGCAGCAGCAGGAGATGGCCGTAAAACTGAAGGAGAGAACCTGGGCAATACTAACTAATCCAGCTTCATTATTTCCTCTGTGGGAATGTAAACCACATATTATACTCTAGAAAGGTGCATCTGCCTTGAAATGAATATGTTGTTGTGGTGATTTGAGTCTCTTCTGGAGGGAGTTAGGAATGCTTACTCTACACACTGAAGAAGTGGCAACAAGAAGGCTTTCTTTATTCAGTCCCTGCCTGGTTGGTTAACACTAAGGCAACCCACTAGCCACAGTGCTAGTGAAAACACACCAGTAGGTTTTTTGAAGGTGCTGGAAGTGCATTCAGTTATAACCTATTCTAACACAACATTTTTTTCCCTTTGGAAAGAGTCTGAAGAGGAGGAAATAAGTCTGAGCCCTGGTAACATGAATGGCGGTGACTTGTGCTTAATGTGCCTCAGTGTTTGTGTGTGCACATAGCCAGTATGTAGCTGTTGCACATATTAGATGAAATGAACTATTATTTGGTTGATTTTGAGCAGTTCATTGCCCACCTTCTGTGCAGTAGCATAAGGAAACTGTACAAACAAATACTGGTTCTCTCTATGGTTTGAAATCCTCTGGCCGGATCTTCATCTCAACTCTCTTCAGGGAATAGGTTGATCCATGCCATCCGTACCAGGTGATCCCATCCATGTTCTTGGTGTGTTCTCCTTTCCGGTAGTAAACCCCATTCAGATTGGAGTCTGTGCAGCAGTTGTACCAATATCCACCTTTTAAAAACCCAAATGAATAGATTCCTGGTGAGTCATTTACTTAAAACAGGTATGTTTTGTATTCATCATAAGAATTACTGCTCCTTCCAGAGGAGAGTGACCAGAATGCAGCGTTTAATCCCTGGAGCCTTTATAGCTGGGATTGCAGGTAAACTCAAAATTTAACATGGATACTAAATACATAAAGACTTTACAGTTGCATAGTCAGATTAGTCCAGTGGTTTTTCCTTGACATGTTTCTGTCTCTGTGAGAGTTAGCGTAGGAAATTAGTTTGGGATCTTAGCTTGGGCATCTTAAAGCATTTAAGAGGTCTCTGCACACTGCGAGTAAGCTGCACTATTTTATTGAGGCTGATACCAACAATTTTATTTGCCTGTCATGTGTGGGCATAATGGGGAAATTAAAGGGCAAGATGCAGTGAAGGCAATTATCTGTGTGACAGACCTCCTATAAAGATAACAAATTGAACAAAGAGAGTAACCTCATTAGAGGCTCTTTAAGGTAGAAATAAAGATTGGAATGCAGGTGAAACCTTGAAGTGCAAGTAGGATAATAATACAGGAGGGTAATTACAAGTTCCTGATACTAACTTGAAACCTTACAGAAGAAAACAAAAAGATCTTATACAGGAATAAATTCCTGCGTCGCTGAATTGCATCTCAACATCCGATAGAGGCATAACGGGCTGGATAACAGTAGGTGTAGGTGAAAACATGCACTCAATCATTTGAAGAGTACTGATGTCTATAACATACAGTCTGGCTTTGTGTAAATCAGCTTTAAGTGCCACATTGCCCACATAACTGGCAAGTGGGTATTCCAGAGCTGATCACCTCTCCCTTCATTTGCCATCCAGATGCTCCTTACTAGTTACTTGCAATGAGGGAATCTTGGGCTCTCTGTGAATTACCCGGGAGCTCTCTTGGGACAGGAAGGTGTTTGTTCATGTTTTACCTTTACGGAACTGGGCGCAGTCGTCCACGCACTTGTCGTTGTCCTTGTCCTTCGTGCTGAAGGCTGTGTTGTTGTGGTACCTGAGGGAATCCCGCCCTGTGTTGCCAGTGTAGTTCCCCACAAAAAGGCGATAGCTGTTGATTTCATTGCTCAGGGTGAACTGCTTATATTGTGCGTAGCGTATGTTGCCTTCCCAGTCCTGCCACAGAACAGTGAAGAAGAAATAGGTCCTATTAGAGTAGTTATGAAAAACCCCACTCTTTATTGTTACATGCAGTGCATGTTACGTATATTTTCTCAGTCCTGGATTTTTCATGGGTATTTTTTCTGTCTCAGGCTGCAGAAACTTCCCTTTTAAGGCAAAGAAACTTTCCAGAGCAAAGCATTATATTTCCAAGTCTTGCCTACACTGGTATTAAACAACATATATGGAAACTGGTGTGCCACTCTTGCATTCAAAGTCCTCATCTCAGAGTGTGCTGCCTCAAGTAACTTTGTTTTCCTCTCTGAAACACTCACTTTTAGACATAGACTTTGGCTCACTTTTTCCATTATACATATCCCATCCGTCAAAACTATTGTACCAGCTGTAAACCTAGTTTAAGTCAAACCCAAGCCTTTAATAGACTGTAGACATTGTTTTGGAGTAATACAGTGCAAACTCTTGTATACAGGCTGGAAGAAAGTTCTGCAAAAGGAAAAGATTCATGGAGCATCTTTGTGAATCTTTGCATCTGAGGCGATCAGCAGTTTGATCTCTGCAGTGGGTTTCACAGGGTTCTCTAGAGCCCCACAAGTTCCCTAAGACACAATCTGTATGCAGATAGAAGGTTGTTCTACTGACTTTGGGGTAGAGAATGTAATTCTGTCTAGTCCTTGAACGTATCATTAGGGCCATCCTGCTTCCTTCTCCTGCAGTTAAAGCATGCAAATTCTTTGGGCCTCCTATAGAGACAGGAGATGGTATGTGCTACTGGGAAATCCCTTTGTATTCAAAGCTTTTTTTTCTGCTGAAATTAAATGCTTATTGATTACCTCCAGCTCTACTCGCAGAACAGTGGGGCGCCTTGAAAGTCTGTAGATATTCTCATTTCCCAGCCAAAAATCTCCCCGAATATTGCCAAATCCTTCCTTGTACTGTTTCCAGTCCCTATTGAAAGAGGTCAAACCAACTTTACGTCTCTGGATGATAGTCCAGCCACCTCCGTCTGTCTCCATGTCGCAGAACACCTACAGCAGGAAAAAATCCAGTGTTTACCTGTCAGTAGATTTAGGAAGGTTCAGTTCTCTTAACAGAAGACATTGTTCCAGATTTCACAACTTGAAGAAATTCCTCTTTTCTTTCTTTAATTCATGGAAAAAAATGTTAAGTGAACCCCTTTTCCCTTTTAAATGTACAGTCTTTACTTCCTTTAAGTTTGCCTAAAGATACTGAGTCAGAGTGTAGGGTATCATAACTCAGTATGTACTCTTTTTGTCTCTGCAGTAGGTAAGTATTTCTTGATTATATGTGAAAAGACATGCAATATACATTGTGCACTTGGCGTCCTTACCTCCAGCTCTGGACTCCCCAAAAATTCATCAGGAGGTAGCTTGTAAACCCCAGAGATCCTGTAGTTCCTCTGGTAGAGTGAAGAGCAGTCATAGACAGCATCTACTTGAATAGGAAGCAGAAAGTAAGAATGTGAACAGCAAGAACAACTTCCCATAGGAAACCACAAAGGTGGTTTCTTGGAAGCTTAATTTGTAATACAAGGAGTAACTAAGTGAAGAAGACTTCCACAAATCTCATGTTTTCCTGAAATGGTTTAGTTTTGATCAATACACACATTGGAAAAAGAGATAGTAGCACTGGGACTTTGATGGGGTTTTTGGGTTTGGTTTTTGCCTCTCCTATCCAAAGAGCAATCTCCAGTTTCTCTTCCCATTGCTACCACTTGCTGGAAGGTATAAAGATATTTATTTGCTGTCCCCCTCCCAAACAATAAAGGGTTATCTAATAGAATGGCAAGGCCTGCTGCCAGATTGATGAAGCTCAGCCTGATGCTTGAGCAGGTTAGCCGGGTTTGCGGATGAAGCCTATTTGCTCAGCACTTTTTGCACCAGAGCCTATGACAGAGCTGGTGGCTTTTAGCTGCAGTCTGTGTCAGTCTCTGCCAGCCTTCTTTCCTCCCTCTGCAGGAGCTGCCTTGATGATAGGGAGATGCACAGCTATTCTTCTGAGGAAGATAAACCAGCTGAAGCAAGGCTTTATCCATTCTGACAGCTTTCAGTTCAGTACAGACTATGTGTCTCTTACCTGGTGAGGTGAGACGAGACACATCTGGTTTCAATACCTTTGCACAGCCCCAAAGAGACTTGTTATGGTATAATAGTAAAGACCTCCACTAAACAGTGGTGTGTCAAAACTAGCCAAGTGGAACTTTAGGGAAGAGGAATTTAGTAAATAGATTTAAAAGTTTTTCCTTTGCATTTAAAAAAAAAAAGAAATAAAAAAATCTAAGTGAAATCCTTTGGCAAACCCAATTCTCCTAGAAAACAGCAGTGGATTTTAAAGGAAGCTTTAAATATATTGCAGCAGATTTAATTTTAGGAGAAAAGTCATCTAAAAAGACGCTTTCTTCTAGAAGCGGTTTTGCAGATAGCTGACCTACAAAATGCGCCTGCATTCCATGCTCGGGACAGGCCTGTGCAATCACTCTGTGCAGTGAAATTTTCCCTCGGGGAAGAAAGGATTTGGAACAATTTAAGTGCTCTGGCTAGGCTTATATCACAGTTTGCATCTTGCATCATCTGCAGCCTTGAATGTTTGAGACTTATCATTCAAATAACGGATAACTCTTTTACTCTGGTTTCAAGATGGTCATAAAGATACAGTTACAAGCCTCAGTAAGGCTTGGACAGCATTTCTAGTTGTTTCACCAACTTCTAGTCCCCTGTCAGCACTGTGAACGCAGAGGATATTGCTGCCAGAGCACTTCTGTGACAGAGCCAGCTCCCTTCCTTTTTGGATTGGTACTGTAGTGCTTAGAAAATGAACTGTTAGACTGAGTTCCTCGCTGTACAGATACAGTCCCTGCTCAGTTTTCCCATTCCTCAGTAACAAACATACAGATATTAAAACACAGCTGGATCTTTGCACTTCTGACAGATGAATCCAAACGGTTTTCTCAGTATCACCTGCCTACAGAAGTACTTTAAGCAGAAGCATTCAGAATGCACACTTGCTAATCCCGTTAGTGGGACATGCTAGCATTAAGGACTAGTCATAAGTTCATTCTGAGCATCAAAAGGTGTCTCTGGGAGCTTGGTGGCTCCCTCCTTACCAGCTGAAGTTTGCGTGACCGTCTGAGCTGCCTGGAGCTGCATGATATCTATCTGGTTGTTCATTTCGGAGTATTTGCTCTCCGCATCAATGAGGCGGGACTCCATCTGCTTGGTGCTCCCTTCCAGCTCCATCACTTGCATGACCACGTTCACCCAGTCGCCTTCCTGCTTCTTGCTCAGCTCCTGCAGCATTCTGCTCAGGTTGGCTACTTGCAGCTTGAGCTCTTTAATCTCTTCACAGCAGCCTGTCAACTTGGACTGTGCATTCCCATTGAGTGTCCTCCTTTTAGGAGGCTTCTGCAGCAGCGCTGGGTAGATCGCCACAGACACAGTGACAATGCAGAGCCAGGCCAGCTGAGCACTGGATCTTGCTGGCATTTTTGCTTACAGCAACAGAAAACTTCCAGCTGGCTGTGGGTAGTCTGAATGCAGCTGGGGTAGGTATGAAGTTGGTTGCAAGTGCTACAGTACCTAGCTTTCTTCCAATGAAGGGAGTCTCTGAAGGTGGAGCCTGAAGAAGCAGCCTTTTTTCAGACCCGTCCTTTCAGAGCCTATGCACTTTGGAAGTCTGTCTCAAAGCATCTTTTATGCAATTTGGTGTTTACCTCCACCCCCCTGGAGCTATGAAGAGCTCTCTGGCCCCTCCCAGTTCATCTGTTCCTATCAGGTGTTTACAGGGTGAAACTAGAACAGCATTCAGCCAAAAAAGGTTGGGGAGAGCAGGAGAGACTTCACTCAGTTCTGTGTTGAAGGGGTGTGGTGGAGGGCTAGGAAATGCAGAGTTTCCAGCGATGTTGGATTGAAGCCCTCTTGGTGACTTGTTCTGGCACTTCAGTAACATTAGAGGAGCGCTAGAGGTCCAGAATGTGAAAAGTCTGTCCCAGCAGCATGAGTTTATGAAAGTTCAGGGAGTGAACTCCCTAGCAGGTAGCCCCAGCTGCAACAAGTCCTCCTAATACCAGAAGTTGAGGGGGTAACTCTATGCTTGCAGTCCTTCTTAATTTACATAATATTGTGGCAAATTCATCTGTTTAGCATCTAATCCTCCCTCTGGACGCTGGTGTCTCTGCACTGTTTGTTTTGTAGCATTCAGTGCTGCTATTCTTAGAGATGGGATATGCGAGGGTGGGATGGAAAGAAGTCTGCAAAACATCTAAGTCAAAACCCATGCCTGTGTTTACTCACAGTGGACAAGCAAAAGGACATTAAGTAATGCTGAAAGACAATCTACTTCCAATTGACAAGAGGTGGTTTTTTTCACAGGCAATTTGATTGAACTCCAGTATTAGGGAGGTCAGTTTGTTAACAGGATTTAGAGGGGAAAATCTGTGGGTAATTAAAATGTCCACAGTTATATAAAGTGTAGATTTAAGAGTAAAGCTTAAATCTTTAGACACTTAGAGTATAGGTCAAGTATCAGTTGGCTGAGATAGCAACTTCCAGTCTCCTCTTTTACATCCTTCAGCAGTTCCAAAGTTGGTTGTAACTGATCCCAGAGTGGAGCTGTTCCAGCAATGGTGCAGCTTTTTGCAAAAGGTGTGCAGGTTTTGCTCTAGATCCTTATGGATAAGTTGTTTCTCCACAAGCCAGCTGCTCTGGCATTGGCCAAAGTGTGAGTTCTTGCATCTTCCTCTTTGATTGTGACAAGTGGCAGAGGTAAGATGCAAAATGAAGGAGTAAATGGTTGATGTATCTGCCCCTGGGACAAATGCCATGAAAGCTTCTTGGTGTCTAAGAGAACAAAAGAAAGCTCCTTTCTTTGTTTTTTTTGCAAAGAAAAAGAGGAGAAACCCAACTGAGATGTGCTATCCCAGTTAGACTTCTCTTGTTGATCCAGAGTGGTTGCAGGATTTCTGCTTGATTAGAAAAGGCCTGGTGATCTGACATGCATTCTGGAGAAGTAGGAAGCATATTTTCTTGTTGGTGCAATTTCTCTTCCTCCTTAGCTTTGCTACACTTACTGCTAGATGCTTTGTTTCTGCCTCTGATTTGTACTCCAGCTGCAGAATAGTAATGAGAAACCCCACAGGGTACAGAGGTTTAGGAGGATGAGAGCACCAAAGCACTTACGGGGTGGGATATGAACACAGACGTTTCATAAACCTGCATTTTCTTAGAGGAAGAAGAGTGGATCTTTCGGAGGAGGTCGGAATAAGAGATCTCTGAACAGGCAGCATGAGTGCCTTGAGTTTCATTGCAGCTGAATGTCTGCATGCTGTACTTCAGAGAGAAACCACTGTAATATCAACTGGTGAGGCACGGTGTGGTATTGGACCTGAGGTATGCAAGTACAACTTGATTCAAGTGCTGAGGATACCTCCACAGCAGACTTAGGCTTCAGTCGTGTTTTTGCCATGGACATTCCAGAAACCTTCCACAGCAAAATTGCTTTTTATACTTCAGACCAGAAAGTGCCACTGCACCCGGATGAAAGCCTGACCTTTTTGTTCTGCCTCTAATCCTGTCTGAGCCCTCTTCCAGCTGAAGCTTCTGTCATTCCCGGGGGCAAATTCTTCTCAGGCTTCCTGTGATGAGAAACATGTTTTTTGTCAAAGTTGGAACAAAGAATAGGGCAGGCCAGACTCTGGCTTCTCCACCCCAAAAAGCCACCCTGCTAACACCCACATCGTGTTAACAAGATCTATTCTGCTGCTCTCATTCACCATAACTCTTAATGCAGTCTGAATTTCACTCACACATCATGAGGGGCAGATGTGGAAGAGGGGAGCCACTGGTAGGTCCATGCATTCATTCCTTGTACATGTTTTGGAAGGATCCAAGATTTAGCCAAATTTGCACACAGATGTTAGGAAACAGTGCAGAAAGGCCTCCAAATCCCCTATCTAAACTGGAGTATTTAATTGGAAACGAGGCAGCCAGGGACTTGCATATTTTGATTCACCTGTTTAGAACAGAGATAATGCTTCCTTGTTCTGTGTAAGGGGGCGAAAACAGGCATACTGTGCAGGAATGGAAAAGAGCACAAGTCTTCCCATCTGTCATTACTTTTGAGGAAGCATTAAGAGGGATTTGGGCAGACAGATCTCTCTTGGCAGAGACCTTCGTCTTAATGGAATTTGACTTCTTTATGAGTATCTGAAAGATGAATCTTTCTCTGCTGCATGGAGAACTGAATGTAGTCACTTAGGCAGCAATAGCTGCTGATGCTAGTCATTGCCAGATCAGATCAGCTGTAGGAGTTGACATTCTATAGGAAACTGTCCCACTGTTATGTACTGCTGTACTTAACAACTTGAATTCAGGATCCTATTACATTTTGGAAAGAGGCATCATTTTGGACATAGAAAGGGATAAACTAGTTCTGTCATTACTGAGTAGGTCCTAGTCCTTTCTCCTTTCCCCCAATACTTTTAGAGAAATCCAGTATCATTTAGTCTGAAATCTATGGTCCTAGTTTTCCTCTGTTATATTTTGTATGTAGAAACATTCTGCTACATGGTAGCTTAAAAGATGAGATCCTAAAGTCAAGAACATGAGGCAGATCCTTTATGACTTTGTTACCTGTGTAGGTTTGATGTGACTGGGATAATAGAGTCTAAACATGGTTGCAGTTTGTGTGTACCCTATGCGTATAATGTTGGTTGATGTTACCAAATGCAAGTATATTAGTATTACTTGATTAGAACCAGGTATCTCTTATCCCTGGAGGGCTGGATTAAATCAGGTGGGTTTAAATAACTGCTTTCTCTGGGAAGCTGTTCTGGCAGGTGTACGTGAAGCTGAGACAAGAAGAGAAGAGCTCAGTGCCCTGTGGCTATTTATTTGGTAGCCAGTCATTGCAAACCCCTTAATATGCATCCGGCAAATGCTTCGAATGAGGCATTCCTGGTGCTTGCTGAGGTGGCAAAGGCTCTCATCAACACTCGGAGTCCACACTGTATCAAGGCTCTGTGAAGCACAGCTTTCCCCTCCCAGGAGGTGGGAAACTGTTCACCTCTGGTTTTGGAGCTGCTTGTGAATGTGCTAACACTCACTCTGCAATAGCTTTGCAGTAATGACTAAGACCCTAGTACAGTCAAATACAGTTGTTGCCTACTGCAAGTAATTACTGTAAATCTGAAGTTATATAGGAACTGGTGGTGCAAGTGAGAGGGCCTGATCAGAAGCAAATCACTGATGCTTCCTGCAGTCATTTGTAGTATCTTCTTTATTTAATGTATCTGTTCTTTGCACGAGCCCTACGTGAAGACTTTGGCTTTGTGTTTCACCTTTGTCTGCTAAATATCTTCCTTGCCAGTTGCTTTTCTTCTCTGCCTGCACTGAATCTGGTGAATAAAGACTAGGTGATACAACACCCTTTGCAGGCTGAGCAGCAAGGCTGGCTGAGAGTTTCCTTGTGACAGTAATAAAATCCTCCTATTTTCCTTTCAAAGCTCAGCAATGGTTTTATTTGGTTTACAAGCATTTCCATCGAGATTGGGAATTTGGCCAATTTTAATGCCTGTGAGCAGTGCAGTGCACCCTTGCTGAAAGATGAAGGGCTGCTGGTCTGGCCTGTAAAGCAATCCATCATCACAGCTGTATTGAAAACATCTCTTTGCTGGTATTGGTTTCTCAAATATGTTTGTTCCCAGCATAGGAATAATTTTCAGTGGTGTGATGGAATTTTATTGGGGTTTAGAGTTGTTTGGGGGCACTTGGTTGTTTCCTGAGGTTTGTTTAATCAGGGACTCGGGGATGCCTGAACACAAACTGTAGAGCTGGGGAAACTGGCCAACAAAGCCAGTTCCTTTTGCCAGAGGATTATCTGTTCCCCAGAGTATCCACAAAGTAGCAGGGCATCCACTTCTAATCCCGGAATCAAGCTCCCTGTGCTGCTTCAGAAGGAAAAGCAAGCTTGGCTTAGGTTGGTAAAATCTGTCACAGGGAGGAGCTGATTGAACAAACTTGGGGAGTCTAACATAAAGAAGAGTTTGGCTTCTTCTCTAGACTTTGCACACAAGCTGCTTTACTGCAATATAAGGGTTTCTCTCCCATGTTTTGGGATGCTTTCTGGCAATAGGAAATGTGTGTGTTCCCTCACAGATAGGCTTGGGACTTCCTGAAAATGCTCTGTTGAAAGATGTAATACTTTTGTTATTGTGATTGATGTCGGTTTGAATTCTGCTGTGCTCAGATATGCAATAATGTATTGAGTCCAGGTGGGACAAACTCCTGCAAAACTTGATAGATAGGAGTCAGTTTTGCAACTGATTAATCCTGGTTTTGAAGGGAAGTGTAAGGATCTGGTCTTGTTTTGTTGTATCTTCTAATCACTTTGGTTATTGCCTAAGATGTGAAATCAAGTGGTGGGTATTAAAGAGTGAAATCAGTGCATTAGTTCAAAGTATATAAAAATCTTTTTGATACAGAATCAT